AGAAACACAGAATCGAACCAGATTTAGTTCGAGTAAAAAGGGGCCTGAAACCCTGATTTGGGTAGACCACAAAATCGGCAGAAAATAAGGCAAAGAATCACGTATTTGCATAAAATGAACATAGATAGGAGATTATTCAAAATGAAACACGGAATCGAACCAGATTTGGTTCAATTAGAGAAGATCTGAAACCCTTATTTGGGCAAGTAAAAGAAATCGACAAAAATAGGCAGATACACAGGTAATAGAGTGAATAGAGACAGAATAATGCTAAAAAATCAGAGTTTGAACCAGTTTAGGTTAAAATCAAAAGAGAATCTGAAACCCTAACCTTTAGGGTTAAGTACGAATTAGCGAGATACGAGAGAATCGGTACAAAGCAACGCGTTTGGACTCAAGGTCGTCCTGATACAAGAGGTACACATAGATTTGGACCGAATCAAAGTGGGGTACTTGCCATGTTTAGGCAAGTACCTAAGTTATTCCATAAAATAGCACCAAATAAGGAAAATATCTCGAGATGGCAGGTGAATGGGGAAAGAATCCCATTAGGAATAGGATTTGGGGGAATTTTAGTGAGGCGGCGGAATTAGGGTTCATCAGAGGGGGTGGGGAAACAGAGGCGGCGGGATTAAGGAAATAAGGGATAGGGTTTGGGGGTAGAGATATAAGGAAAAGGGCGTGATCGCTTATGAGCCGTTGGTCATTTTTGATCAACGGCTGGGATTTGAGCGGACTGTGTTGGTTTTAACTGAATGGGTAAGGGTAATTGGGCCAGGGGTATTAGGCTTGGTTTGGGTAGCTTAGGTCCGAAATTTTTATTGAAAATTGGGGCCTGATTTAAATACCCAATTTTAATAAATAAATAATTTATAAAAATAATAAGAAAATAACAAAAATATCATTTATGCATAAAAATGATTTAAAACAATTATGTAACACTATAAAAGTATAAAAGGTTATTTTTTGCATAAATAATATAATCATAAGTACATATGGGCTATTATTGCAAAATGTGCNAAAAAAAAAAAAAAAAAAAAAAAATAAACTCTTTCGACATCAATAAATTGGTTGTGTTTGAAGCTCCTTATACTTTATTTGAGTTGGATTTGAACTTTCTTCTTTTTCTTTATATATTTTACTTTTGTAGTACCACAAATGAAAATTCTTGTACAATTGACTAAATAAGTTAGTTAATTATTCAATTTAGTATAATCTTCATTGTACCATGATGTTTATTGATATATTTTGGTCTATCGATATGCTGAATAGATTTGTAGTTGAGAGTTATCATCAACAACGGTATAGCTACTTTTGCAATATATACCCAATGAAAAATTATTATTTAAAGATATTTTTTTATATGTGAGAAGGGATTTTTGCACGTATACAGAAACTAAATATTTATATATGACTTTAAAAAAAAAAAAATAGGCATTGATATTGGGTACACGCGCAACGCGCGAATCCTAAGACTAGTTATCATAAAAATAATATGAAGGATAATTATTGGATATTTATATAATAAAAGAAATAAATTGATTTAAAGCTTTTAAAAATTATGGAAAATTATGAAAAATACTTGTGCATGCTTGTAAACCAAATGATGATGCTTGTGCACTATTTTGAAAGTATGTGTATATATTTGAAAATATGAGGGGAAAATTGGGTATCAACACTACTCCTCAACGTCCCCTCGAGGACACTACACTTATCGATGGCCTTCACCAACTCATCATCTTGCTCCTTCAACTCGTTCCGAAGGGCCTGCATATCGCCGCCGTCACGAAATCGCCTGCGAAGATCTCGATACTTGCCACGCTACTCAAAATACTTGTCTTTCAGTTACACTAAGATCTCTTTATGCCTCTTCTCCCTCCGGGCGCTCTCGATCTTCAAAATCATCGTCTACAATCATAAAAAGGAAAGAGAAGAAAGAAGTTAGAACCAAAGATGCCCCGAAAAATAAAAATAAAAAGAGAAGAGGCCGAAGTACAAACACTCACCTTAAGAGCAAGGACAGCAATGCTCCTCAACAAAGCACCATCGTCTATCTCTTCAAGGGTCTTACCCTCTATCTCGGAATAAAGAGGGCCGAGGGCGGGGACTACGTCCTCGGTGTTCTTCAACAAGTCACGATCCATGGGGATTGCGATAATCCTCGTAGACCCCTCTAACCTTATCTTAAGTTGGGTAAGCCCTTCCTCCATCATCCTGAGGTCGTCCGCATCTACGTCAGAACCTGACTCGTCTCCCTCCTCAGCGATGCCTTTGTCCCTCTCATTGGCCGGCAAGGAGGTATCTGCAACTGTTCGAGAGGTCGATGCCTCCTCTCGCCGTGAAGTGTCAAGGACATCAACAGCCGTCCCTTAAGTCTCCATCACCGCAGAAGGAAGAGACACATCCACATCGGCTCCCACCGACCTTGGAACATTGGAACTCGGCTCAATATCATCTCCTACGAGAATGGTCGCCGTCTCACGCAACGAAAAGTCACCTCCCGACGCATCAACGGCCCGGGTGACTCCGTCACCAACATCCATGGACCTCCTCTTTCGAGGTAGGAGATCTCCATCGTAGGCAAAGTTTCATCGTCCTCGTTGATGAGAGAATATAGAGGAGAAGCCGAAGTCTCCACGGCCGAAGTGGGAACAAATTCGGACACAGCAACGGGGGAATTGGAGCAAAGGTAGGATCAGCCCCGGTCGAAACAGGGGCAGAAACTGGAGACGCAGTAGCCTTCCTCTTCCAGAACAAGGGCGCAGGAGCTCTCGACCTCCTCGTAGACCCCCTGGCTGAAGCTAAGAAAAAACAGGAAAAGGGAAAATCAGCGAAGGAAAACAAAAAAAGAGTTAAGACACCGATAGTAAAAAGGAAATTACTAGTCGAAGGGAGATCGAGCTTGAACTTCTTTAAAAAACTTGGACATTCACGAATACCTACGATGTGAGGGACGAGTCGCTTGACCCAGTCATAGATATGATCGTCCAAAGGAGGAGGCGAGGTCTTAGCTGCAAAAGAAGAAGGCGAGAAGTCAAAATTCAGGACCGAACACCAGAAAGAAACCAAAGTACTTACGAGTATAGTTCCAAGCCTCGGGAAAGCCATCGACATTGGTCACAATGTCCTCAATCCTGACATAAAAGAAGTTGAACCAGAATTGACGACTGGCCTTGTCGTCCATCTTCACCACCAGGAATTTGCCCTCTCGGTGACGAAGGTTCAGCATTGTCGCCCTATAAAATCTAGGAGCGAACAAATGAATTAAATGCCGCAATGTCAATTCGACCCCGACCCGTTCAGCAAACTTTGTGAGCATCTTTATGGCTTTATAGACGTACGATGCGAGCTGAGCAGGGCAAACGCCGTAGTGATGATAGAACTCCTCCACCAGCAGAAGGAAGGGAAAGAATAACCGACTTGGAAGGGGCAGGCGTAGAGGGTGCAATACCCAAGACGGTGGACCTCTACTGTATCCCACCCGGTCGGGATCAACTCGATTTGATTGGAAAGGCTGAATTTATCCTTAAGCTCCGCCAATTCCTTCACCGTCGTCACTAATCAAAAGGCTCCAGGTTTGGCATCTGGTGATTTGGTAAAATTGGATCTGGAATCAGGTTTGCGTGGGATTATCTCCTCCACCGACGGGAAGGTTCCATCCTCAACGCTGGTAGGAACACTCACATCAGGGGAGGGGAACGCCACTGCCTAGGGAGGAATACGACTCCCCTCGCCAGCCTCAGAAGGTACGTTAGACATGATTCAATGTAATGAAGGAGAATAACGAGCAAGAGGGAATGATGAACGATGTAAGTCGCTGGAATAGAGAGTAGAAAGGATTCTGCAGAGAAAATGAAGGAAGAGTTTGGAAGAAGTTTCAAAATCAACAAACCTTCCCCTATTTATAAGGTTCGAGAGGCACCATAATCAAAACGGCGGGTCGTGATTAGTGCGGAAATCGAAACGACAGAACCAATCAGGGGTCACACCTAAATTGATGCAATGCGTCGGGAAACGGCGTCATTATGACGCATGATGTTATGACGTCGCTACTTCTCTTGGACCAGATGGCTCCAGCAGACTTCCCGGGCAATTCAAAAAATTCAAAATATGCGGATCTCAGAAGGCCACGTAGCTCCGTCTCCACGACCACGGCCTCCGCGGAAACGACCTCGATAAGCGAGGAGACTAACTGTATGGGTCAAAATCCATCTTTAGTCGAAATGGTATTAGTAAAACATTCCTAGGATGCCACTTGTCGAAGTAATCTAATTATCAGCGAAGGCCTCGGTCGAAGAGTCAGCAAGGCTGAAGTCGAGGAGTTGTCATCGAGGCCGAGGTCGAGCACCCTTGGCAGAGCTATAACTGCTAGTTTCGAGATAGGACACAAAAGAGAATATTCTAGTAAATAATCTCTGCACTTGTACTATTAGGGTTTTTAGGAACATGTTCCCTATAAATAGAAAGAGACACAATGATAGGGGACATCTGATATTCATTTGTAAAATTACACTTTGACTTTAGAAAGAGAGATTCGGATTTCATTGCAAGCACACAAACATCACCTTTTCACTATGATTCTTGTCTACACTTTTTCACTAGATCCGAGAATAATTCAGATATTCAAAGGATTGTCTATCACTCATCATTGTCAGATAGTACATCCACCGATTCCATCCTTTCTTGGGTGACTCATTCATTCTATTTACTTAAATGTCATTTATTGCGATACATCAATATTTAATGCTACATTATTGCCTTTGATTTCTTGAGTATTGATTATATGCCACTGCTATCAAAATATACCTACATAGTATTTATTGCACTTTTGAGAACTCCATCTTTGGGATAATATTGTTAGCTAAGATTAACCCTCATTTATATAAATTTAATTAGTTAAACCAAGACCTATATTTTTTGGTCAAACATAAGTATCTAACAGGAAAATGTAAGGGCATTAGCTGTGGTTTTTGCCTCATCTCCTACCAGGAAGAAAGAGCTGAATAGAAGAGATTTTCTTTCCTTTTATCTACAGAATCCAGTGCTTGGTGAAAGTAACAACACCAGTAGAAATGTATGTTCACTGTTCATGTAAGATTTAGGATTTTGTTTTTTTTGCTTACAGTTTTAGGGTATATGACAAATATTGTGTTTTTACAACATTGTCAACAGGGAAAGACAGAATAGAAGGTCATTCAATTTCTATCTGTTGTGGGATGTCCTCTGCTTGGTCATCACTGGCCTCGATTTCTTCTGCTGTAATTCCAGAGGCCTCAACTGTTCTAGCAACCCATTCCTTCAGAGGATCTTCATTCAAATCAAGTCTTAGAAGGCCAGCAAATATCCCTCCCGCAAAGGCAACAGGTTCCTGCATATTTAGGGTGAAAGAGTTTCACATGAGAAAGCTTGATACAAGTGTCTTCACATTTCTTATTGAAAGAGGAGAACGGAAGGAGAATGACATGGGATTTTCCAAGCAATTAGAGACCGGATCATCATTTAAACAGACGTGAATTTAAAGCATTAAATCTTAATGCATAATCTTCTTTTTCTTATTTATCTATGTTCCCTCTTTTGATAACATTATATTCTCCAGCTTTTCCACTACTACATCCTTCAGTAAAGAGGTTATACATGGGATTTGTGCAACTACCTATGATGTTGGAAACGACTAGATGAGTTGTTTTGCCCCCACAATGAAGGTGGAGTAATAATCTAAGCCTCCAAATGCATGTTATTAAAGACGAAAAGTGCAAAAAAGCTCTAAGGTTTGTTGGAGCTTCAAGTGCAATGCGCAAATAAAGGGTGAGCTTTAACGAAGAAAGGCATAAATGGAGAAAAAATCAAGACTATTAATTATAAGCATGAATAACAATGTATGGATAAAGAAATTGGAAAAGAATTACGATAAAATAAAATATCAATAGTGCTGCCTCTTCAAGATTACACTCATTGGCATGGAAAAGTATGCCTTCGAGCCTTGATGATGACATTGAAGCGCCAGCTAAGAGAGGCGAAGCACTCAACATGTTTTGTGCCTCGCTTCAGACCGTAAGCGCGCGCCTTTAACAAGACTGCCTTTTCCTATGGCTTTTCTTCCACTACACAGTCCATTAAGCTACATCGTTACATTCAAATTGGTTCAGAAAAGATTTTGAAGACAGAAATTTTGCTTCTTGAACGGTCCAGAGACATGTAGTTGTTTGCTACCATGTTTAAATAGAATACAGAAAAGCTTTTCCCTCTAATTTTGCTCTTACACTTTTATTTTGTAAAAGGTTTTCCTTCTCTCTTTGCTTATACTTGGTTAATTCTAAATTAGTTCTCTTCTTTCCTCCCCTGGATGACAAACAAACTACCAACCATCAACAAAATCTCGCAACTGCTTTTTTTAATTTAATTTGAAACTGCTGCATATCAATGCAAAGTGCCACTCATATTGTTTGCTGGGATGTTATATGGTGCAAAAGCTAGCTATATTAATAAGCCCAGATGTCATTAGCTCTGCAAATAGTATGATTCTGAGCCTTCTAGATATGAGAACAATGCAAATGGTGATGCCACAGCACGAACTTTACTATAGTGACATCGGACGATTTAGTTAAAAGCAATGTGGAACTGTTAAGTAAAGTTACATGGGCATAACTCTAAACAAAGTCACTGTGAGAGTGGCTTCTAGAATCTTTTAGTAAGTTTGTAATGAAAATCAGCATGATATCATTATCTCAACTTCTCAGAAGATGCAGCTGTCAGATTGTGAAGGAATTGCTAAGAAGAGAACTAGATGAGATGGGAACAATATCAACTCAATAAGCACTGCATCATCTCACATTACTCCGTCTCATGGCTGGTTGGCTTTTCAAAATCCCTTCACTTTTTGCCTTTTCAATCCTTTCTCACGTGAGACAATCGACCTTCCTCATCTGGAATTTAAAGTCAATAAACTTATTCTATCCAAGAATCCTTCAACCAATTCATGTGATTTTGAGGTTGCGGCTATATCCAAGACTTTGGGCGAGAGTAAATTGGCTATCCTAAAACCTGGTAGTAAGACCTGGATTTCCACTCATCTTCCTGTTGTACGCTCTAGTTTCTGTGATGTGATATACTACGACGAGAGATACTACGTTGTGACTTATGAAGGTAGGGTCTTGTCTATCAACAATAATACTGCTTCGCAATATGAGGAGATTGCACCAGCTTCAATTAATGAAGCTAATACTGATTTTAGAGAATTTTATCAGTAGAAGAAGGCTTAAGCACTGCATCATCTCACATTACAAAAAAAGGCTTTAGTAGAAGAAGAACTATTTAAGCAAAATTACTAATCAAATGTCTCAGATTTTTCGACCAAAGTTGAGCTTTAAAAAAAATATAGAAATCAAGATTTAAGAATTAATCTTAACTTCTGGGCCTCTGGCTATTATGATTAGAGTTCTTAACATTACCAGCAGGGCTGGGGAGTTCAACAATCTTTTTTCATGGTTTTTGGTGTATGCACTCTGCGTTGTGTTCTTAAATCCTTTGTATCAGTACAAAACGAATTGGCAATAACTACATGCTGCACTTCCATGTTCCATCCCTAAAACCAAATGAGTTACTCTTCCACCTTTTCCGGGGGAATGTCCGACATAAAATTAAATAGCTCACAACTAGCAGAACATGGGATCATGGGTTCAAGCCGTGTAGACAGTTTCTTGCAGACAATGTAAGACTGCGTATGATAGGCCCAATGTGGTCGGGGCCTTCCTAGACCATGTGTATAGCGGGAGCTTAATGCATCGGGTTGCCCTTTAACTAAATGAATTAGGTTAAATTTTCGTCTTAAAGTTAACTATCCCAGCATCAACTGCATGAGGCTCATTGCCAAAATCTGTAGAGTTTTTAAAGAAAATGGGACATCATCTATAGTAAATTGGAGTTCTTAAGCAGTCCATTGAAACCAACTCTAATCTAAGTCGGTTACATCACATCTTCAATCCCTGGGTCTGGCAGCTGATTAACAATTGCAAGAATAGTAGTCACAAGCTGGTCTAATTTCTAAGAAGCAGATATGGTAGCATCTTGTGTGAAATGAATGATTTAACTGAAAAACTCTCTACATAATTTGCAAAATATCTGGGGTTTTTTGTGTGGTGTGAATAAATACTGCATCATTTCGTGTACCAGGGTGGAACTGCAATTTTTTATGACAACACGGACAAAAATTACCAGAACAGACAGCAGTATTGTCAAAGTGAGATATCAATTGTAGAGTAATAGGACATCGATTGGGGGGGGGGGGGGTATTACCTTGAGAGCATCTTTGAGAATGGGTTCCTGGATTGGATTGAAGAAAAACGCATTGACCCGGAACCCAGTTGGCTTCACAAGCGCAGAGAATGTGGATGTTCTCGATGGTAACTGTTTCCCAAACACAGTAGCTTTCCATTTCCGCTGCAGTAAATTCGTCAAACAAATATTACTCACCGGAATTAGAGAAAGCAGAAGTAACAGTACAAATGGACATCGAGCAATGAAATTGAACTCCAACTTACTGTGGCACAAGCAGGTGATACAGAAGCAGCACAGTTCAAAACTATAGACATCTTCTTTGTTTCTTCTTCAGCTACTTGTTCCCTGAATTTGCTTCGATTAGCTGTGAGGATTGGAATGCTTATGCTCCAGAACTTTCCAGAAGGAGGTGTAACTAACAAAACGGGCAGGATTAATGCCACGATATTGGGCCGAGAAAATATAGGCCGAAGTGCAAGCCCAATCATACTAGACGGACCGGCCCAATGAGCCAAGAACACTGCCAAAATTTCACGGTATAGCCAGTTTTGGAACTGGTCAATCAAAAATAGCCAGCGTTTACCAAGTCAATGAAAAATAGCCACCGTTTTGCTGCAATAGAGACCGGTCCAGCATAATATACTGGAGTTCTGTGCACTCGTGTATGAACTCCAGCATATTATGCTGGACCGGTAAACTTTGCTGGCTCCAGTATAATATACTGGAGACTGGAGCACTGGTGCTCCAAACTCCAGTATATTATACTGGACCATTATACTAGCTGGAACTCCAGTATATTATGCTGGAGTTCTAGTGTATTTATGCTGGAACTCCATCATATTATGCTGGAGTTCCAGCATACTATCCTGGAACTCCAGTATAATATGCTGGAGTTCAAGTATACTTATGCTGGAACTCCAGCATAATATACTGGAGTATTTCCGGGTTTTGAACAGTATTTTCGCTCAGATTTATCTTTACATAAAAAGTGGCTAAATTTCTATTACTTTTGAAATTAGGCTATTTTTGAACGACCAGTTGTAAATCTGGCTATTTTTAAAAATCACCAGAACACTTGCAACACTCTACTATGTAAAAATAGCACGGGCTACCCAGTTTTCAGACTGGTTATTCAAAAATAGCCAGCGTTTGCAAAATCATTGAAAAATAGCGACTATTTTGCTGCAACACGAAAAGTTCCGGCATAATATACTAGATATCGGTGCACCTGTGTATGAACTTCCAGCATATTATGCTGGAACTCCAACACGCGAAAAGTTTCAGTATAATATACTGGAGATTGGAGCACCGTGCTCCAATATCCAATATATTATGCTGGACTGGATATTATACTGGAACTCCAGTATAATATACTGGAGTTTCAGTATATTATACTGGAATTCCAGTATATGATAGTGGAGTTTTATATTAATATAATATAAAGTAAAAATATAAAACAAAAAAAAAACAATCTTATAAAAATGGTGTTTGAATAAAAGGGTGCAAAGGCTTTAAAATCTTTATATTTGAAATTTTGAATATTTCATTAAGAATTTAAGATAATAGAACACAATGAAGATGGAAAAAAATTGCACTTATAATTTGCATGTTCTTTTTTATTTCAAACTTACAAATGAAAGTTTACATTTAAAAACAACTAAATTAACGAAAAAAGAGTGAAACTAAATTTTCATTGCATAATAATACTTCAAATTAATCTAACAAACTAAAACATTAAGCATAAATACGTCTAATAATTTTAAAATAACACAAAATTGTCTCAAATCAACTTAAATACGAATTTCTGGAGGACGCTCAAGACAACTCTTCATATGCCTCCTTAAGCAGCATGTGCCCACCCACTTTAGACGAAGATTTAAGACTGGACCACAGTTCTTGCACTTTACTTTGTGAACTTCTTCATTTTCTTCTACCACCTCAAAGTGTTCCCAAACATATGAGCGCACTCTAGCCGTTAAATCGGTCCAGGCCGAGCCGGTTAACCGTTCAACAGTAAATTTTGTTGATCGGGTTTGATCGATCCGGTTAACCGGATCTTTTTTGGTGAACGGACCAATCCTCTAACCCAGCCCACCTAGCCCCCTAACTATCGGTCCGGGCCAGTCCGGGTTTCAACCGGTTTGGCCCGGTCCGGAAATGGATCAGCCCGGCCCGTTTGACAGGCTTAGTCCAAACACTCTATTTGCTTAGAAGGCAAATGTTCCTTTTTCATCAAAATGGGGAATAAGTTATTCATAATTTTTATACAGTAACAAATTTGTACTAGTTGATAGTCTCTAGCACACGGTAGGGAGAAGAATAGCGAACATAATAATAAACATATACTTCCGTGTGAGAATGGAACCTTACACCATCTTAATGCAGGTGATAATCAAATTAAGGCTTCATCAGCTTAGGTGTAACGTTGTATAATATTGTCACATTTTTTTCTTGTAAAACCTACCTTGCCAGTGGAGAAAAAGAAGAGGTTAAGGTTAATATAATGAAAAAGCATTCATTTCCTTGTAACTGCCACTCTTTCATTTATATTTTGGTTGTGAGTGCTTTGCAGAGATATTATCATGCCAATTTCACTTAGGAAAAAAAAAAAGCGGTCTGGTGTATTAAGTGTTATCAAAAACTGTATTGCTGTAAAATTAATAAAACAATAAACTTTCTGAAAAACAGAAACAGAAAGTTAGTAAAACTAGAACGTCAAAATATATTCTGGAAACAGTATAATAACTTCAAAATAAATTCTGAAAATTGTATAGGAATAAATCGAGTCCACTGGATACACTGTGTGTCCTTAAGGAAATTATTCCCCTCAAGTACCCGAGGTTCTGGAATATATCCTCCCAGGATAGAACGATTTAACTCACCGGAGTATTGGTACCAAAAACGCCAATGAACAGCGAACCACTCGAAGGCTGTAAAACACACTGGAATTTTATGTGCAGAAGAAGAAGAAGAAGAAGAAGAAGATCAGAAAATTTCGTAAGTAAATATTCTGGGATTTGAAGGAATATTTATAGCCAATTTGGCTGTTGAGAACAGCCATAGCTGTTGGAAATATTGCGGGAAAAAATAAACGGAGACCGAACCGGGTCACGGGTCATTCCGGATTGAATTTTTGTTAATTAATTAATATTTGAAAAGAATTTTGTCCAAAAAGATTAATCAATCAATCGATCTTTGACCAAATCCAAATCCGAAGCCGGGCCGAGCGAGCGACGACGACGACGACACGAGGCTTGCCTTCTTCTTAACTCTTTAAGAGCTAAAAGATTAGCTTCTCTATATATACACAAAGATTTTCTTTCCTTCTACCAATGAGGGACAAAGTGCATTTAGTAAAGTGAACTCATTCAAAATTTCACTTCCCTCCATTTCTTTTCCCACCATTTTCCATTCACACCTCTTTTGTTATTAATAACAAAACTCAACAATCCCCCACATGAATGGGGAATGGCTATAAACTTAAAGAAATGCACGGACGTGTGTGTGTTTTACATGCAAGAATTAATTGCATCTAGATAAGTAGGTTTCCCTTTGAACTTTCCGTAGTGAACTTATATCGGATATACTCGGTCAATCGATAGATTTGATATCTTTGAACCGTCGAGCTTTTTGTATACCTAGACAACATATGTCACACAATCAATCATTAACCATCTATGGTTCTCAAGGTTGTGTTCGTTTCAGCCATGAACACCACCTGGTTTCATGAGTGCTTAGAGAATGGGCCTTTACTTTCATTCCCCTTGAAGCGGCTTACACTTCACACTCACATAGGTGATTCCTAAACGTGTAATCCTAAAGACACACTATCTGGTCATATCCTGCCAGACTTAGCAAATCATTAAAAAGCTTTAAGCTTTATTGACTCATCAAAAAACCTTAACGCTTTACCTCATTTTTTAACATTGTCTTCATCACGAGAATGGGTTGAGTTATTTGACAATGTTGAACCGTCATTCATAACTTTGTTTGATCTCTTTGAACCTATCTCTTGGGATCTCCAGTCTGCTAGGTAGAGTTACCGCCATGATGACTTGTCCTGGGCTTTTAACCCCATTCCCTTTGATGATCTTTCAACTGCCTCTCTAGATAGGCCTTTTGTAAGTGGATCCGACACGTTATCTCTTAACTTTACGTAGTCAATTGTGATAACACCACTAGAGAGTAGTTGTCTAACGGTATTGTGTCTCCGTCGAATATGACGAGATTTTTCGTTATACATAACGCTCTCTGCCCTACCTATTGCCGCTTGACTATCACAATGTATACAAATAGGTGCCAAAGGTTTGGGCCAAAATGGAATATCTTCCAAGAAATTTCGGAGCCATTCAGCTTCTTCACCGTCCTTATCTAAAGCTATGAATTCAGATTCCATTGTAGAACGGGCGATGCACGTTTGTTTGGATGATTTCCAAGACACTGCTCCACCCCCAATTGTGAAAACATATCCACTCGTGGATTTAACTTCAGATGATCCGATGATACAATTTGCATCACTATATCCCTCGATCACAGAAGGATATTTGTTATAATGCAAAGCATAATTTTGGGTATGTTTCAGATACCCCAAAACTCGTTTCATTGCCATCCAATGTATTTGATTGGGATTACTTGTAAACCGACTCAGTTTGCTAATAGCACATGCTATATCTGGTCGCGTACAATTCATGATATACATCAAACTTCCCAATACTCTTGCATAGTCCAGTTGTGAGTCACTTTCACCTTCATTCTTTTGAAGTGCATAACTCACGTCAATTGGAGTCTTGGCAATTTTGAAATCCAAATACTTGAACTTGTCAAGTACCTTTTCAATGTAGTGAGACTGTGATAATGCTAGACCTTGTGGAGTCTTGTGAATTCTGATTCCTAAGATCACATCAGCAACTCCTAAGTCTTTCATGTCGAATTTGCTAGCCAACATGCGCTTTGTAGCATTTATATCTGCCATACTTTTGCTCATTATCAACATGTCATCAACATATAAACAAACAATGACTTCATGACCTGGAGTGTTTTTAATGTAAACACATTTGTCACACTCGTTGATTTTAAATCCATTTGCCAACATTGTTTGGTCAAATTTTGCATGCCATTGTTTGGGTGCTTGTTTAAGTCCATAAAGTGACTTAACAAGTTTGCACACTTTCTTTTCTTTACCAGGAACCACAAAACCTTCAGGTTGTTCCATATAAATCTCTTCCTCCAATTCTCCATTTAAGAAAGTTGTTTTAACATCCATTTGATGGATTTCAAGACCATACACGGCCGCTAGTGCCACTAACACCCTAATAGATGTTATCCTTATTATTGGAGAGTAAGTGTCAAAGTAATCAAGGTCGTCTTTTTGTCTATAACCTTTGACAACAAGTCTTTCCTTATATTTGTCAATAGTGCCATCAGCTTTAATTTTTTGTTTAAAGATCCATTTCGAACCTAAAGGCTTATTTCCCGGAGGAAGATCAAC